CTGAAAATTGCTCCTTTCTAAAATACACAACACAAGACTATCTAGTTCCCACTTGATCACTAATATGGATCCTGCCTCAATCACCTCATTTGGCAGAGCTTTTCACATCTTAACAGCCTTCCATGTGAAAAATAATCCTCCTAATCTCTCCCTTGCTAATCACTTAAATTGATGCCCTTTAGTCAATGACTCAGGAAACAGTAAAATAATTTCTCCATATTAACTATTGGCTGTTGAGTTTCACCCACAAAATACAGTCAATTCACTTTACAGTATATTCTGTGAAGTGCTTTGAAACATCTCAACAAAGTGATTAGGCGCTATATCAAATGCAAGGATTATTATTTGTTCATAAAACAAACCTCTCATCCTTGGTATCATCTTTAAATATTTCCTCTGTACTTTCACTATGGCCCTGATGTCCTTGCTAAAGTGGGCTGACAATTGTTTTTAAAATGGGTGGGGGGGGGAACAATATTCTATGCCCCTATTTATAAAATCCAGCACTCCATTAACTTTTTTCTCAGCTTTGTCCACCTGTCTTCCCACCTTTAAATATGTACGTTAATCCCGAGGTCTCTCTGCTTTTTTTACTCCTTTCAAATTGTTATCATTTATAATTAAAGCACTTCTAAAGGCAGCATAATTCTTAAAGAGAACTCAAGCCTTTTAGAATCAGGACATTTTGATAATTTACAATCCTAATTGTCAGACATCACCAAGGAGTTTAAAAGATTTCTGATACGGATATCCTCAGGGAAAAAAAAAGCTCTGTGAGCTTCATATATGAGCGAATAAAATAGATGACGTAGCACCCTTTGCTGTCTTCTTCACTGATAGCATTCTCTGTGAAATTGCTGGGTACAGCTCCTTTCTATTATGTCCCCTTGTAACAGGGAGTGCCATTGTGGCTGAGAGTCACAGGTGTCAATGGAAATAGAAGGCAATAAGTTAAATATGTTTACCTAAGAAAGTACAATTGCAGACACTTCATTCTAGGGGTGACTGCAGCCTTGATCCAAAAATGTGTCTCGGCTAGTTTGGATAGAAATGTCACTGCTACTGCTTAAAACAATGCCTTCATGGAAATCCAAGAGATAATAATAATCCTTGCACTTGGTATAGTGGATTTCACATCACAGCATCTCAAAGCGCTTCACAGCATTTAATGAAGAGTGTACCAATTGTTTAATTTGTAGGCAAAGCACCACAGTCAATTTGCACGCATCAATGTCCTTTTAACATCCACAAAGTGAACAACCAATTTAATCTGGAGGGTTGTTGATTAGAACAAAGTCTGATGATTCCAGGCTTTGCCCTTGCTTTCTAATACTCTGATACTGTCCAGGTCTTAGACCCCCAAAAAGCTCCAACAACCTTCTCTTCAAGCCAGACAAAAATCTGAGACCTCAGTAAAATAACATGCAGAACATCTGGGTTTCTTTCGTCGTTGCCATTATCATTACATCCAAAGCTGATTGCTGCATCAATGTAGCAATCTGGCCAGTACTGTCACATTCTACAGGGTACGTCAATAATAATACTTGCAATTGATATAGCACTTTATCACATTATTGAGAGGTCTCAAAGCACTTCACAGAATATACTGTAAAGTGGATTTATTGTGTATCTTGTAGGCGAAACACAGCAGCCAATTTCGCACATCAGTGTCCAATAAACAATTGTGGATTGAGTGACCAAATGATTTTTTTGAGGGATTATTATCCTCCACAAAGCGATCCACCAATCGACTAACAACTGGGTTCCTACTTACTGCTAGGGAAACAGAGACATGTGAAGTAAGGAAACTTGCCTAAGGTTTCGCCCCACCTGGGAATCAAACCTGGGTCCTTTTGTTTGCAAGTCGAACACGGTAACCACTACGATACAGTATCAGGATCTGATTCGTTGCCAAGTCAATTAAATGAAGATTGCTTTTGAACATAAACTTCATTGAACACGCGTGGCAAGAGGCAATCTGTGGTGGACTGGCTCCCCAAAAGGGCCCAGATTGTCAGATTGTAAAATGGGGTCACCAATCCTGGGGGAGTTTGGAGGGTGTAGATTTGGCATGAAAACTCTGCATGTTTAAAATGGTTGTCGGGGCTTAAACAAGTGGGCAGGATCCAGGCAGTGATTGGCTATCTTAGTTATCATTCATCAGGTAGGGTGGCCTCTGGGCAATGATTGACTGGTCTGAGCTGTCATTCACCTGAATGTCGAGCTCTGGGGTGGCAAGTATCAGGAGCCAATCATGGGAGCACTTAGAAAATTTCCATATTTCTTACATCGTGAGTCTGCCCCTGGAGGCAATCCGTATTTGGAGGAGTTGTGTGAATATAGCCTCTTGCCTCACATGTCCAGCTGTATTAACGTCTTGTCAAGTAACACTGAATAGAAGGCTTTCTGCTTTTTAGCGTGGTAGATGTAAAAATAGAAACCTTCAGTTGTCCATGGTAACAGTCCAGTTAGTGGATTGGCTCTCACCTGGAACTGGAGATCTCTTTATATTGGGATGATTTGAGCTTCAACATTGGATGAGTAATTTGACTCCAATACAGCTTACAGATTTTTTTTCAGTAGGGAAGGTTTTGTGCAGCAAAGAAAGACAGCAGAAATAGATGTGGCAGTTTGTCACTCATCAGAAACATTAAAAGGGTCCATTTCTTTCTGGCCTCTGGTTTTAAAGTTTGTGCGAAGTGAGTGACTGCCACATCATCATCACATTGCATCCGACCGAATTGGCCAAATCTTTCTATGTTACAATACTCAGAACTGATTTTGGCCTGTAAACAATTCACAAGTCATTGTATGCTGTGTTGTCCTTAGTTATGTAGCATATTGGCATCACTTGAGGTGGGGGGAAGATGAGGAAAGAGAAAGAAAAGTCATACTTAAGTAGTACTTAACCTGTAATGTTGGATTCATATACTTCTTAACCACTTTCAATTGTTCTTACGCTTACCAGCACCAGCAAAAGGCCTGCAGAGACCCGTGCTTTAACCCTTGTCCACTGCACCTAAAAATGTGTCCAAGCAAAAATTTGGAAGGACGAAACATGTGACGACATTGCTTGGCATTTGTTTCTGCTGCAGGGTGAATAATGTATGAAAATTTCACCCACATTATATTTGTCCAATAACCTAGTAACATTTCTGCTGTATGGTGAAGAATGAATGAATGAGGGAGCAGACATTGCCACAACATACTATGAAGTAACGTCCTTGTGGTAAGGAAGGAAAGCTCAAATAAAATACTGTCCATATAAAAAAATAAACTTCAAACAGGTTCTACTAACTATTCTAAACCATATAAACAGTACAGGTCAACTACAATGGTTCTACATTGAAACAGTCAGTTGTCCAGGTCAAATTATCATTACTTGCTTCTATTTACTGAAGCAAAATTATGGCACAATTTATTTTGAATGGAATTGGATGGAATGGAGTCCTGTAACTCAATGGTTAGAGTACTCGCCTTGCAAGTGAGACACCTGGATTCAATTCCAGGTAGGGCGAAACCTTGGGCAAGTTTCCTTACTCCACGCCTAATAATAATCCCTCCAATAAATAAATAAATAATAAATTGTTCATTTTCAATCCACGACTGTTTGTGGGACACCGCTGTGCGCAATTGGCTGCCTCGTTTCGCCCACAAGTTATACGGGCAATTCACTTTACAGCATATTCTGTGAAGCGCTTTGAGATGTCTAGAAGACATGAAAAGCGCTGTATCAAATGCAAGGATTATTATTATTATTATTTAAAACCAGGATTTTTACTTTTTATTACCATAAAATCAATACGATCTAGTCTGTTTTAAATTATCAGAGCAATCTTGATATCTGTGTGTGAATACAGGCAGAAATGCTTTCATTCTGAGAAAATAATTACTAGACTACAATTACCTGAAGCACCGAATTACTTACCATGCTCAGTGTACAAAAAAAGTACATTAAACTTAGCCTTATATGCACTCCTCTTGTAATCACCTTGGGATTTACAACATACTATTTATAACATGAGCTCGATAAAAATATTTTCCATCAAATTTTCAGTACAATAGACGGTTACAATTTCATAGACTGTCCACTAAAAAAAAATCAAACTGTAGATCACTCCATGGAAAGCTACAGGGTAGAGGCAAAAAGGCTTCAAGCAAATTGATGCATTAACATTTTCTTAAGTTTATAAACATTTCTGATACAAAATAACCTACTGGTCTTTTTTCTAATTAAAATGCTTTCTTCCCCCCAACCAGTAGACCATTTATCAATATATGTAAATTCACTGTACAACAGCCGCTTCCTTTGCTCAATGGGCACCTGCTTCAGTTCCCCGTCCCTCTCTCCCCACCGCCAGCCTTTCAGCTTATCTGCCGCCACTCTCTGGTACTCCATCCCAGGAGAAAGTCCCTCGACTTGCTCCCTCTCTCACTTTGTTCAAGGCCCAACTCTTTGATCCCACGTTCTGTCATCTTTCCTCGCCCCACCCCTTTGTCTCACACTCCAGTTCAGATCCCAGGCAGAACTGTTCACAGCAACAACAAATTGCATTTATATAAAGTCAGGATGACATCCCAAGACACTGGACAGTGAAGGGTTTACACCTGAGTTAGGGGTTGGAATCAAGCGGGTGGGGGTCAATGGGGTGTGGGATGGGAAGATGACTGAAGGCACGTTCGAAGAGGAAGGTCTTGAGATGGGCCTCGAAGGAGGGGGCGGGGCGGATCTGGGAGGTAGTTTCAGAAAGTGGGGAAGAAAGGCTGAAAGTTAAGTACCTTGGGATGTCCTATCAACATGAAAGGTGTTGCTATCTAAATGTAGATTTCTATTGTATAATGTAGGATAGTAAGATCAGGCCAATATTTTGTTCCCAGCACTTCTTTAAACAACGTGCATTTACCACAGAATTCCAGTGTTATCAACATTGCTGTTAGTTAATTTAACAACCAAAGCAGTCCATTTTCTTCAAGGTATTGAGGGGGTGAATTGGACTAACCTGCACATTTGGTTCTCGTAATGAGCGGGGGCCCAGCTAAACCCGTCCCTCCTTCACCAGGCCTAGTCAGCAACACTCTGATATCATACTCCGTATCTGGGTCCAAATGCCATAGCTTGTAGGTTGGTGCATTTACAGCATGGATTTCTGTCCAGGTTCCACTCGTCATTCGATATTCCACTTCTTTCAGGATAATAGGACCATCGCCGATGATCGAATTTGCATTCAGCTGGATGAGCAAATACGTAGGACCAACACCAAGCAGCTGGGGTGGTGCAATTGGCATGGGCGGCTCTGTAAAGAAAGAAATTTAATTCATGAGTATTAAAATGTAATTCTTCTGACAGTCACTAACATTCAGCTGAAGTTTAGTACTGTATATTCAAATCTCTGCAGCCCACAATACCTCCTGCTCCACATTGCTCCTATCCTCACTCTTCAGTGGGTCAAACATCGGGATCGATATCCAGACAATAAAAGCCCTACACATCTCAGCTCTTTCTACTTACGCAATCATTTCTATTCTCATTGTCCTGTCCTTGCCCTCGGTTTTTCAAATCCTAGTCTATTGCTCATTTCTCATTCCCTCTATTCCAACATAGGAGTCCTGCAGCTTGCAAGAAAGAAAACCTGGGTTCAAATCAAGCAATCAAGATTTAGTAACTCAAGCAGTCTTCCTAAAAGTTTTTTTTTAAATAAACACCACTATTGCAGATTTCAAAGCAGATTAAAATGATCATTTCCAAAATTATCTTAACCAGAGAATACCTATCAAAACCCTGCTGCCTGTATCTTCACTCAAAATAAACTCTGCACTCCAATCACTCTAGTGTTTGCCAGGCTCCACTGGCTCTCCATTGCAAAACACATCAATTTTATGATCCTCACACTCACATGCTTTGTGCCCTGGCACCTCCCTACACTTTACCATCGGTAGCCATGCTTTCAGCCATGATGCCCCAAAACTATGGAACTCTCTGCTTTGCCCCCTCTTCGGATCACACCTTCCTCTTCGACAATGCCTATGGTCACCTACCCTCTCTCAAGCTCTGCCACTGTTAAGCCTCTGAGAAACTATCCCATGTAAGGGCGCTATATAAATGCAAGTAGTATAATATAAGCACTAGCTATATGTAAGCCAACTTAAACCTGCATCAAGTAAAAACGAACAGAAAGAATCAATCTTTTTTTACATTATCCTGAGACAGCGCAAAGAAATGCATCATTACACAAGGTATCAAAAGTACATTATTAAGGATCATTCTCAGCAACATTCCAGCTGCTGATCAAATGAGGCCACTGACAATGCTTTATTCACCAAAGACAATGTTTCCAGTCCAGATGGCTCATTCAAAGTTTCAGCTAATTAAGCAACTAAGTTGAAATTCAAAATACTAGGATTAAGCTGGCAAACATAGTGTATTTATGCATGCTACAAACCCAGCACTTTACACTTTTGAAAATCAAACCAGGAATATTTAGGAACATAGGAGCAGAAGCAAGTCATTGAATCTGTGGAATCTGTTCTACCATTTATTAGATTATGGCAAATAGGATCTTTAACATCTAGTACCATTTTCTTACCTTGTCCGTATACCTATACATCTTAATCAGTAACAGTAATAACAATAATCCTTGGATTTGGTATAACGTCTTATGTTGTTCAATCATCATTATTATTATTATCATCTCAAAGCGCTACGCAGGATTTACTGTAGAGCAGTGGTCGGCAAGCTTTCTGATTGGTCAACAAAATAATCAAAGAAATAACAAAATAGCATAGACTGATGCCATAAATCAAGAAATATTCAACCAAGAAACATTTATTTTGTTGGCCAACCAAAGAAGTTGCTGTGCATGGCTGTTTTGGGTGTCCAAAGTCCTGTTAACCCCATGTTTCTTTTCTACTGTTCACCGACCAACAATTGAAACATGTGGAAGAATGCTGATAATTGTATTTAGAAATACTTAATTATATTTAGACATCTAGAGGATCAGTGTTAGTGCCATCAGATTCATGGCAGATAATGATCTTCTGTTACATGATGGAGTGATGAGACAAAATGCATCTGACAGCTTGTTTCAGCTCACCCATAGTCTCATATCTCTGTTTTACAAAAAAGGGGTATAAGAACTTTGTGGACAGATACCCTGTAGAGTACAGCAATTGTATTTTGTAGGCAAATGAAGTAGCCAATTTGCATATAGCAATGTCCAACAAACAGCCATGAAGTTAAAGACCAATTTTACCTGGAACATTGTTGAAGATTCCAGGAGAAATTGCCTTCTCTTTTCAAGCAATACAATGGAAATCTTAATGTCTACCTGAACACACATACAAGATTTGGGTTCAATGTCTCATTCAAAGGACTGCACCTCTAGCAATGCAGCGCTCCCCCAACATTGTACTGGAGTGTTCATAAAACCATAACCATAGAAATTTACAGAACAGAAGAATTTCTGTGTTGACTCGTTAAGAGCGATAGAACTCCTTGATTCACACTAACTGCTGCTTTCAACAAATAGTGTTGAATCTGTCTGCATTTAGGAAGTATCTCAGCAAATATTACTTATGAAACATTCCTATTCATACAATGTCTGTTAAATTGCCATGTACTGCATTTCACTGAGGCAGATAAAACTGATGAGCAAAGACATTTACATAAGACAAATGGCCTTAATATTGACAGTTGCAAGATACACAAACGTTCTCCCTTTACCTGGCATATTCAAAGCCACTCCTGACTTTATGTAAGAGTTCAAATGCAAGAAGCAAATCGAACAATGGCCATGAACAACATTAATTATGAATGAATTTATGATAGACCTAATGGACACTTTGCAAAGTAAATTATGCTTAACTTCTTGATTTAGCATGATCAAATTAACATGCAGGCTTTTCCGTCAAGTTTCTACATACTGAAAGATATTAAAGCGTTGGAACATTTAAATTAAAATGAGCCAGAAAATGAGCAAGAAATTGTGCAGCCTGTGTAATACAATGCAAAACTCCCCAAATATCTTGGGAATGAAATAGAAATATCAGCTCAGAAGGCCAATCAACCCATTGTAAGCACTCAGTGTCATCTGTCAAACGGAGCTTTTCTTTTTGTCCCATTCCCCTGCTTTTTCATACATTTCCCTTATATCTTTAATCATGTTCCCTTTTAAATAATTGATACAACTTTAATAGCCACTTGCTGTAACACATTTCAAATACTAATGAGTCTTTTTTAAAAAAAAACTTCCTTGTTAATAAACTATGGAAAGTCTTTATTTTTTTTAGTACCTTCCTATGTGACACCTTACAAATCCTCATATAACTTTCGAATCCAAGAATGTTTGAAAAATTGTAGTCAGGACATCTTCTATTTCATCCTGGCCAACAAATCCCCAAATAAAATTGATCATTCACTTGATGTGAATGTGGGATATTCGTGGGATGTTGTTAGGGACAGTGAGAGGTTCCTGGACAGTATGATGGAGGAAACCATAACTCCCCTGAGGCTCAGGAGATGCTTGCATCTGGTTAATGCTCAGGGACAGGAAGGTTTCATCAGTCCTGCAGATAATGGGACCCCTGAGAGAGGGGTGATGGAGCCGTGGGCTTCAAACTTGATCAACGGATGTGAGTGTTTGATGGGCCAGACACCTCAAGAGGTGGTCACCTCACCCCACAGACTGAGGGTTCAGACGGAACATGACTGGGTGACTGTCCGGCATGGTAGGAAAAGGGGACAGGCTGGGCAGAATGCCCCCAATAGTGTAGCACTCTCAAACCAGTACTCTGTACTGAACATTGAGAGTGTTGACATCTCCAGGGAGGACAGTATAAACCGATTGGTAGAACAGGGGGACATAGGTAACAGGAGCAATGCTGTTGTCATAGGGGATACAACGGTGAGAGATATAGACCGACGTTTCTGTAACAGAAGACGGGAGTCAAGGATGATATGTTGTCTCCCTGGTGTAACGGTCTTAGACATCGCAGAAAGGGTGGATAAAATCTTCAGGGGGAAGGAGAACATCCAGAAGTGGTGATCCAGGTGGGGATCCATGATATTGGTTAAAAAAGGGCTGAGACTCTACAGGGTCAATATCAAAAGCTGGGGAACATACTAAAGAATCGAACATCCAAGGTGGCGATCTCTGGATTACTCCCTGTGCCTCGGGCAAATAAGTACCATAATGGCAGGATCAAGCATATGAATGCTTGGCTGGAGAAATGGTCCAGAAAAGAGGACTTCAGGTTTCTGGATCATTGGGACCAGTTCTGGGGCAGGTGGGACCTGTATCATATGGATGGGTTGCACCTAAACAGGGCTGGGGCGAATGTGCTTGCAGACAGGCTAACTAATGCTGTAGGGGAGGGTTTAAACTAGTTTTGAGGGGAGAAGGGAATGCAAAAAACGAAGAGCTAGAAAATGGAGAAAAAAAAACACGGGGGGAAGTGCAGAACAGGTCAAGTCAGTCTTGGAGTGCATGTGCCTAAATGCATTGAGTTTAGCAAACAAGATTGGTGAGCTGCAGGCTCAAGTGGTCACAGGGAGTATGTAGAAGTAGTAACAGAGACTTGGCTCAAGCATGGACAGGAATGGGAGCTGAATATTCCTGGCTATAATGTATTCAGGAAGGATAGGGAAGAAAAAAAAGGAGGGGGTGTGGCAATGTTAATCAAGGATACAGTTATAGCCGTGGAAAGGGTCGAGGTGCTGGAGGGCCCCAAAACAGAATCTATCTGGTTAGAGTTAAGGAACAAAAAAGGAGCTGTTACGCTGGTAGGGGTATACTATAGACCATCAAATAGTGGGAAGGAAATAGATGAGCAGATCTGCAAGCAGATCTCAGACAGATGCAAGGCCAATAGAGTCGTGATAATTGGGGACTTTAATTATCCCAACATAGACTGGCAAAACAACAGCGCAAAGGGCAAGGAGGGGGAAATATTCCTAAAATGCATACAGGACAACTTTCTTGATCAGTACGTTTCCAGCCCAACAAGGAAGGAAGCAGTGCTAGATCTAGTTCTGGGGAATGAAGTAGGGCAAGTGGAGCAGGTTTCAGTGGGAGAGCATCTGGGCAATAGTGATCATAATAATAATAATCCCTGCATTTGATATAGCGCTTTTCACGTCTTCTAGACGTCCCAAAGCGCTTCACAGAATTTACTGTAAAGTGAATTGACTGTATATTTGTGGGCGAACGCAGCAGCCAATTGCGCACAGCAATGTTTCACAAACAGTCATGGATTGAAAATGACCAATTTATTATTGTTTTGTTTTTTTGGAGGGATT